TCATCTAATGTTTCATTGCCACTAGTCCATCCTTCAGTTAATAGCTTTGGATCACATGATTGACACCATGTCCAATTAGTATTATATCTATTGCAGATTGGACATTCCCCATATTTTTGTTCTCTTTCCTTTAAATATTTATCTTCTATTACAAATATATATTCTTTTGTAATTGGATCTTGTGTTAATCCATAAATATGAATTTTATCATGAAACTTTGTATAATTTTTGAACAATAATAACAAATAAAATATTAATTACAATTACAATATTTTAAAAAATTTGAAACTAATATTGATAAAATAATTTACTTCATTAAGAAATTCATCAGAAATATTCTGTGAATTATGTGACTTTTTTAATTCCACAGTCCAATCCATACTAGTTTTTTTGTTATTATCATTTACACTTTTGTAACCATTTAACCAAGTAGCTTTGTATATAGTTGCAAACTCATCTTCATCGATCTTTTTAATATTTTTTAAATCATCATAAGGAATCCATTGAAGATGCTTACTATTATCATACCTAGTTGCTTCAAGTTGTGTACTTTTAATCAACTCATCTAATGTTTCATTGCCACTAGTCCATCCTTTAGTTAATAGATTTGGGTCACATGATTGACACCATGCCCAATTAGTATTAAATCTCTTGCAGGTTTGACATTCCCCATAATATTTCTTCCTTTCTTGTAAATATTTATCTATTATAAATATATATTCTTTTGTGATTGGATCTTGTGTTAATCCATAAATATATATTTTATCATGAAACTTTATATAATTTTTGAGCTAAAATAACAAATAAAATATTAATTACAACTACAATGCTTTAAAAAATTTGAAACTAATATTGATAAAATAATTTACCTCATTAAGGAATTCATCAGAAATATTCTGTGAATTATGTGGTTTTTTTAATGCCATATTCATATCCATACTAGTTCTTTTGTTATTATCATTTACACTTTTGTAACCATTTAACCAAGTAGCTTTGTATATAGTTGCAAACTCATCTTCATCCATCTTTTCAATATTTTTTAAATCATCATAAGGAATCCATTGAAGATAATAATTATCATACCTAGTTGCTTCAAGTTGTGTATTTTTAATCAACTCATCTAATGTTTCATTGCCACTAGTCCATCCTTCAGTTAATAGCTTTGGATCGCATGATTGGCACCATGCCCAATTAGTATTATATCTCTTGCAGGTTGGACACCTCCCATAATATTTCTTTCTTTCCTTTGAATATTCATCATCATTTTTGGCCACTTTGTTGAAAAAAATCTTCAACTTCGTTTTGCTCTCATTTAAAGTGTTTTTCATTTTTAAAAATTATTAAATTATTTGTATTTTTTTTTTAAATATAATTTGTCAAAAGAACTTTATTTTTAGCCACTGTATATCGCACAAACACAAAATAATATATTAATATATATTAATAACCCAAAGTTAAGCTCATCATCAATTAATTTAGATCAATAATTAACTATATATTTGTTATTTGTAGCTTCATCAATAATATAAATTTTTTTGCAGCTGAGATAGATTAAACAACAAAAGATTTAAATCATGGACATGGTAAAAATTATTTAAAAAAATTTTTGTCCATATCAATATAGATAATTGCTTACGAATTACGAAATCGCTATTTTTGAAATTTGACCACGTGGTGCAGCAATATAGGTCTTTAGACCAAACCCGCCGCCATTCATATTTTTTTTTTAATATGTGCTTGTTGGATTTATTTATATTAATATTGTACATGTAATCAACTGTAAAATATGTAAGTTTGGAAAGATGTTAAAGAATTTGTTTATCATTTTGATATTTACACGTAAAACAAGTTCAAAATAAAATTGCTTTACTTCAATGGATGCACTTGGACATCCATTTGCCAAATGTTCTTGCACATGCTTTTTGTTCCATGATCATTACAATATATACAAGTGAAATCATACTTACCATGATACCTTTCTAAATGTGCCCAAACAATACCAGGAAGTCCTTCCAGCATTCTTGGAATCTGGCAACTAAAGATTTCGAGAGTCAAAATTGTTTGACATAATTTAAAAGCAATACATATATTTTTCTATTTTGTTTCAGAGTTTGAGTTGGGTAGAATTTTGAATTTCGAATGTTTGGTTCGTGATTTTGAATTTCAATTGATTTCGATTTTGGAATTGATTAAAATCGACCCTAATACTAATTCTAATGTGTTAATTAATACTAATCATCGAAATGATTTTCGAAACAAACCTATTTCGCCATCATGTATGAGAGTGACCCCATTCAATATGGCTCATATGCCTGTTCTACTCAAAGTAGCTTGCTTAGTCAATTTGACCAAGGAAAAAGTCTTCCTCCATTTCATATTTTTAGATACTTTCACATAAAAAAAAGAAAATTTCAAATAAAGCAAGTCTCCTTACTTGAAGTGCGGTAACTTGGCTGCGCCGACATAATATCATAATATCCTCCGATTTGAAATTATTTTCTTTGTGCACATTTATTTTTACAACGAACGCAAGCTTCGAAAATAATAACAATTGTTGTTTTTTACTTTGATAAACAAAAATAATATAATTTGTTATTGTTTAAGTTAATTGGGAAAAACGTAACGCGTTGGCAAAGTAGCCATAATCAGAGTTTTAAACACACATGTGATTTCAAAAAAAATTCGACGTTGAACACGAAAAAAAAATTATTTCAAAAGCATGACATGTTCCAGTTGTATAATCCGACTATTTAGGTGTCAATAGGAGTCGGGATATACTGGTTTTCATAAGTTTTGGTTTTGAGTTTTATTATTATTAAAACAGGAAAAAAAAAATACAAATTAAATTAAAATTATTTTATTGCAGAGTCAGTATCATATTCTAATGAATCAAAAGTATCTGTTGCTGATTTTGATGTTTCTGATAATTCATCAAAGTCTCTAGGAACAAGAATTTTTGTTTGTAATCTTTCAAAAAAAATTTTTTTTGAGGATATAAAATTGTCGATTACGATTACAGAAAAAATACAATGATAATAATAATAATAATGGTGATAACAACGAAAGCATTGACATGAGAAAAGGAAAAATAATGTTTTATCCTATCAGAACAAATTGAAGAACGATGCAATTTATTTTGTTTAATAATCAATCCTTTATAAATTAATATCAAATAATAAAAAGAAATAACATTAGCCGCTTACATTGTTTCATTAATATTAAAAAGGAAGTCAAAAAGAAGGTCATTGTGATGGAATGAATGTTTACAATCTGGTAATGCATTTTTGCAGGAAAAGAAGTAACCCTTTCGGATCAAAAGACATTGAAAGACTAGTAAGGCAAAAAGGCTGCCTCTGGCACAATACCATTTCACTTCCATATTTATTCACGGGTACATTCGCATATGACTTTATTAGTGATATAACTTAATAAAATAAATAATTCTAAAAAATAATAAATAAATATAAAACTTGTTCTAGAAATTTAAAAATTTAGAAAATCCTATATATAAAAAAATTATTTATATATTAGTTTTTTTCAGTATGAAAAACAATATTAATATAAATATAAATATATATAATTTATACCATGCATGTGTCATATATTTTTGCACTGCTAACAAAGCTTGATAACGGACTTCTGAATCTTCATATGTCATTAATTCCATTATTCGTTGTTTCGCCCCAATTTCTTGTAAAAATCTAAAAAAATATATTTGTTAAAAAATTAAATTAAATTAAATAAAATAAAATAAAATAAAATAAAATAAAATACAAAAAAAAATTTACTTCTTTCCACTTGGGTAATGTTTTACATATTGTCCAAGATCATGAGCTGCAACAGCTAATACTGTATGATCATTTGAAGTACTAAGTAACCTAGCCAATATTCTGTATAATTTTATGAAAGATTATTTTAATATTATTAAAAATTCTTATTATTCTTAAATAAAAATTATAATCATATCATAATATTAATGCATGAAATTATCATTATCACCTTATTAACTCGTGGTCCCTTTCATTCAGCCTCGCTACATTTTGTTTCCAAAACTGTTCAGATTCATGTGGTGGTGACCAGTGTAACATACCGGATGATATCTCTGAAGCATATTCATCAAAAGTTCTGAATAATTTTAGATTTCACAAAAAGAAAAAATTAATTTATTGATAAATAGAATAAATAAATAAATGTATAAAATAAATAATAAACAACAAATATATATATAAAATAACTCACGTCAAACTATAAAAATTTTCTTGTAATCTAACCCTCAAGAATTCAATATCTTCAACAATTTCACTATCTGACCATTTACGTCCCGATAAATTTTCACAGAAATTTAAAAGTTTTGCAACCAACATTGTTGGTAAATTCGATTCTGGCGCCTTTTCAACAAGATTCTATTGGGAGAAATTTTTTGTATTAATAAAAAAAATGAATTTGTTAAACAAAAAATGCAAATATTGACAGACAAACAAGATAGAATGATCTTTACTCTAAAAGTTCCAATGATAACACGAATAATTTTTTCTTTGATGGCACTTTTAGCTATGTTAATTAAAGTTGGAATGAGATCAAATTTCCTATATAAAAAAATTTATTTGTAAAATGAGCGACCTTCAAAAAAAAAATAAATAAATAAATAAATGATAATCTATTAAAATAAATTTACTTGTTAAAATCTTCGGCTACTTCTTTATTAAACGTTAAAAGCCAAAAACAAAAGATGATCTGATATTGCATTTGTAAAGAGGGATTTCTAACTTTAAGAAGAGTAGCCAACCTAAATAAATTAAATTATTAATTAATTAATTAATTAATTAAAGTTCATTTCCTCTATTCAACTTGTATATTTACAATCTTCAAAAATAAAATCAACCCACGTTTCAACTCCTTGTTGAATATTCCAAAATTTTATACGATTAGCTGGTACTCTTAGGATCGATTCCAATATTTGTACAGCCAATTCATACACCTCAGTATTATTACTTTTCAATCTTAAAATGATCCAATTAAAGAAATCACGGAAATTGATTGGTAGATTTTTTTGTGCAGTGCTAAACATATAATAATATAATAATTAATATATTATTTATTGCATCAAATAAAAAATAAAATTATTATTATCATTAGTAGCATTATTTTCTCATATGTTTATATATCATACCATATCAATACTGTCAAAACTTTTGCTGAAATTAATTGACTAAATTCATCATCAGAACTCAAAAGTCTACAAACGTATATAATAACGAATATTAAAATATTGAATATTGAAATATATAATAATTATTATTAAAAAAAAAAAATACTTTGTAAATATTTGATATGGATGATTAGGATCATCTTTGCTAGATAATGCGTGAAAGTGTTGAGCATTTTGTTCATCATCTATGTTAATAATAAAAGAAAGAAAACAAAGTATTTTAGTGATTGGACTTATATAATATATAATTAAAGAAGAAGAAAAATAACAATAAGATTGATTGATTACCTGAAAGCATGTCATTAATTAAAACAAGTGTATATTGAACTGTATCATTTTTTGCCACTTTTTTCAAAAGGTTTGCATATAATTCTGCATAATTTGCTGCATCCTAATAAAAAAATTTATTATTATTGTTATAATGAAAAGAATCAATCGAATGATTATAAAACATTATTTTTATTATAGCTACCGTCTTCATGACCGTTCTTAATTGCTCACGACTTTGCTTATCTACTCGTTTCAAAAGTTCAAATTCTTCCGAAGTTATAATACCTGCACTTTGATAACCCTGATAAATGATAAACAAGTAAATTATTAATTCCTTAATCTTCTTTGGTTCGTGCATGTTTGAGAATTAATTAATGTAGCGACTAACCTCCCATGGTATTGGTCTTGATCGCGTTGTCAGTATAAGATCTTCAAAGTAAGTATTTGAAACTGACACTAGTGGGACATCAGGAATTTGACGATAATCCTTTGAAGTTGAAGAAGCTGCCATATTTAATTATAATAGATTGATATAAATTATGTTATATTATTATGCGAAATATTAAATTTTCATGTTATTATTTATTTATTTATTTATTCCAAATCTCTATTGATAAAATAGATAGAATCAATCAGATCTTGAAGTTTCAGCCACAACTATTGTCATTCGTTGTATTACTATTACGTCACGAGGAGCGGCCATATAAAAATTTTTTTTGCATAAAAACATTTTAATTCACTTGACATATTTTTTCATTTTTTCTTCAAAGTGTAAAATATCTCCAACGCACGCATCAATAGAAAAAAAAAAAATGTACGGCAACTCACGAAATATGGCATCAACAGCACTTAAACGTCTAATGACTGAGTATAAAGGTTAATTAATATAGCAGCAACGTTCAAAATATTCACGTTGTTTACATTCACACTAAGACCAACTATTTATTTATTTACTTTAAAAAAAAACAACAGAGATTACATTAAATGCTCCAGAAGGAATTACTGCAGGCATATATATTATTTATTATTTTCAAGGATGTTTATTTATGAATGTTATACTTTTGCTAATCTCTGATAAATAATTAATAATAATAAAAAAGGGCCAGTATCTGAAGATTCATTTTTTGAATGGGAGGCTCTCATAGCGTAAGTGTATTACATAATTTTGATCTCTTGATTTTTTTTAATTGGTTCTTTTTATATTTCATTTTTGTCGATGATAAATGAATGATATATATATATATATATAATAGAGGGCCTGAAGGTACACCATATGAAGGTGGTATATTTTCAGCTACACTACGATTTCCTACAGATTATCCGCTTTCACCACCAAGTATGAAATTTACATGTGAAATGTTTCATCCAAATGGTATTTATTTTAATAAAAATTAAAAAAAAACCAATCTTTAATAATCTTTGATGATCATTCATTAACAATTATAAATTTATAATTATCATAGTATATCAAGATGGATTGGTATGTATATCAATTCTTCATCCACCAGGCGAAGATCCAAATATGTATGAAAGTAGTGCAGAGCGATGGTCACCTGTTCAAAGTGTAGAAAAAATTTTATTAAGTGTTGTTAGTATGTTAGCTGAACCAAATGATGAAAGTGGTGCTAATATTGAAGCATGTGTATGTAAAAATTTGGACAATTTAGATTTTTATATGAATGATGATTTTAATTAATTGATTGATTTGGTTTTTTTTTTTAAAAATAGAAAATTTGGAGAACAGATCGAGAAGAATATAATAGGATTGTTAAAAATATTGTAAAAAGATCTTTAGGAATATGATATATATATAGAGTAGGGTTGATATATAATATTGTTATATAAATAGTATTATTATTAGTAGTAATAAAATATTATTAATTAAAAGTTCGATCTACTAGTATGTATGTGTATCAGGACTAAAAAGATTTATTTATCAAATAATAGTGTTAATTATAATTATAAATAACAATTAATCAAAAAAAACAATATACAATTAATTAATAAATACATATATATATATATATAAGTGTATATATATATATATATGTATTGTTTTTATATAATTTTCACACGACTCTTATTTTTTTTTTTAATAAATATTTTCCATAATAATAATAAAATCATAAAAAAAAAAACACAAGATATATATATATAAAGTAAACCCTATCACAATATATCCCCACCACCCTCCTAATATTTATATATATATATAAAGAATACCCACTCCTAAATATAAAATTTTTTTTGCTATGTTAATAAAAAAAAGATGAACTATAGAAAGTAGATAAAAGAGAAATAATAAAATAAAAAATTATACAAATGGTTTTTTTCTTACCCAAATTAAAGGGCAAGAGAAAAAAAGAGAAAAAAAATGTTTACAAAAATGTGAATATATATATAATATATATTATATGCAAAAAAAATAAAAATAAAAAAGCTAAAAAAATAAAAAAAATAAAATATTTATAAATATATAAAAGTAAAATGAAAAAAATATTTTGTACATGGGGAAGGATTAACTAAAATATGTAAAAAAAAAAAAAATGTAGTATATATAAATATATTATAAAAATATTATCCATCCCCTAAAAGGAAAAAGAGAAATTTTTGGTTTTTTTTTTTCATTACCCAATTATAAAAAGTAAAGGAAAAAAGGTATTATGATGATGAATAATGATATGATTAATAATAATGGTGGTAAAATTTTGTTTTTGTTTTTCAATATTAAAAAATGAGAAATTAGAAAGATTTGTGTGTGATGTAATATAATAATTATTAATTATTCTCGTGTTTTAGTTTTTTTTAATTTTGGGTAAAATAAATAATTATCGTAAAATTAATTATATATAAAATCTTATAATTTGTTTTGTGGTTATACGTAAGAGGAGAAAAAGTAGGGAGTGTAAAAAAAGAAATACATTCATAAATACCGTTACAACAACACACATGGTCACAATCACAATTATAATTAACTAATATTTCAACGTTAAGATCATCGAGCCATCTGGACCAATTTGAACTTCAACTTCCATATCTTGTTCATCTTCGATCTGGTTAATATATTCATCATCAACACGTACAGTCAAGTTACGTGATTTAGAATATCTTATCACATCTGCAATTTGTTGGTTATTGAAATCGAGTTTATCTGAGAGCTTTGATATAAGATCTTGTACAGTCAAATGATTCAAATACACAGCTCGATAGGATGTTTCTCCTGGTAATTTAACATAAATACAGAGTACTGTTTGATAAAATTTTATTTGGTTAGATATAATATATAATAAACAAAGCAATATAATAATATTTATGATATATAAACATAACAACGCATTTATTATATATATATCAATCCTATAAAGAATTGATAAATAATAAACAAACGATTGATTGATCGAATAATAATAATAATAATAATAATTACCAGCACGACGTTTTCTTATGTGTGGAATGTAAGTTGGATCACGATCTAAAGGTTCCAAGAACTCGGAACCCATTGAAAATCGTCTTCGTTTACCCAATTGTAGCGTCATCAATTCACCCCCTTCGACTTCTGGATCTAGATTATTTAGCGTTTCTGAAAGACTTAGTACATCATCGTCATCCGATGCGTCATTATTGCCTGTGATATCTGTGAACGATGTTACAGCATTGGGTGGTGCGTACATCATTATCATTGGTGTCGTTTCTTGTGTTTTCCCTTTTTTATTAATTAATTATCAAGTGTGTATGTGTATAATTAATTAGTGACTATACGTTGTACCATATATATTATTATACACTATATTTATTATATTTATTTACCTCTCATTTTTTCGCACATTTTTTCAAGATGTTTTTGATCATCTTTATTTTTACGTTCAGCTCCCTTAATTTTTCAAAAAGAAATAATAAATAAATAAATAAATAAATATAATTATTTTACATAAATAAAAAAAAAGAGAATAAATAATAGATAGACAATAACCTTATCTCTGAAAAGTTTTACTTTGGCAAAAGACTTTTCTAAAGTAGTAGTAGTAGAAGTACCATTGTCACTTTTCGTTTCGACATGAACTCTTAATGGAATACCTTTTACACCTTTTATACGTGAAAAATCTGTTGAAAGACAATTGAATCTGACAAAAATTTTAGCGCCTTTCTTTCCATTCCACTTGAACTGTACACGATCAAATGTTTTTGTTTCTACATTACTAATACCAGTTGATGCAGCTTTATCTTTCATCAAATTAAATTTTTTCAGAATAAACAAAACAAAACAAAATAAAATAAAGTAAAATAGAATAAGCATAAATAATATTTTTAATTTAACAACAAATGAGAGTGTCTGCATATATAGATGTATATAATTACCAATATCAATTGCTCTGGCACTTTTTGGGGATGATTGTTGCGTTAGCCAGAAACTCCAATAGGTCGAGGCCATTTTACGATGAGCGTCATCATGAAACATGACTTTAACGATACTCGTTAATTCACTATCATATTTTTCTTGATCTTGCATAATAATGCTATAATATTGTCCTTTATAACAATGATTATTATTATTATCAATGAAGGAGGTTGATCATTTAGTAATGGTGATCATTTTATAACGATTATTTCGTGACATATAAAGAAATAAATACCTTTGTTAAGATATGTCATTGGAGTTTCATCGATTCTTTGAGCTGCCGCTGTAGGCGCATCAAGCACTATGTCAAATCTTAGAGGCCTGATAAAATATAATAATTATAAAAGCAATATTATTATTATACCATCACTAACAACACAATTATAACATTATTATTATTATTATTCTTATTATTAGATGACATACGATGAAGTAGGGGGAAGGCTTGCAGGTGGACTAGGAATGCTTACGGGCGTCACCGTGCTACTATAACTAGAAACGTCTTGATTTGGCTGTTGAGCGTGATCTAGAGGAGGTGAATGATGATAGTTGGAGGCATTTGGCGAATTACTGTTATTGCTGTTTGTGCTTTGATTATTTGATTGATGGTGGTGTTGTTGTTGTTGTTGATGTTGTTGTTGTTGTTGTTGTTGTTGTTGTATGTGATGTGAAGGCATGTGATAGTCGTTGACATTGTTACCGTTACCGCTGCCACCATTATTTAAAGAGTTTATAGAATTTAAAGATGATTGTGATGAAACAGGCACAGAACCAACTGAGGGAAGTGGCGCTGAATTCATTAATTGATTGTGATTCATCATTGAGGAACTTGGATGATCATGCATATCTGATTTATAATTTGGAGGAGGTGGTGGTTGATGACTAATTTTTTATTGATTGTAAGAGAAAAACAAATAAAGTTTTTAGGATAAATATTATATGTATGTGTGTATGTGTGATACAAATAGGTAGATAATATATATATAAACGCATATAATAATATTTCTAAAGATCTATGATTTTTTGATACTAACAAACTATTTGCAGGCATTGTTTCTGTTTGATATCTGATACTAGATAAAACACATCAGATAAATTAAAAATAATTAATAAATCTCATGTGAAATAAAAAAGGAAACATTCATCTTTGTTAAATATACATACGCAGTATGAGATGGATATCCTGCATTAGGATTAAAATGATGAAAACCACTGTAATTTGAATGCATGTGCGATGCTACCGGTAACATTATATTGCTAAATATTGGAAAAAAATTTTTTTTTGCTTAGCATACATTTATATAATTATATTTATATAGAGATATAATTGATTATTATTTTTACCTATTATCTGATGCAGCGTATGGCATTTTTTTTTGTTTTTAGGTATATTTTTTTTTTTAAATATTTACAAAAATGTATGTATGTATGTGTTGTATGAAAAATAAAATAATGTATGATAGATGTGCGCGTGTGATTTTTTATATGTTAGATTTATAGAGATTTGGTAATGGTAAAATCGTTAAAAAAAGAGGAAGAAAGTTAACAACCAAAGATTTATAAATTTTTATTATAAAAGGAAGAACTTTTATTGATGTTGTAAATGTTGATGATTTTTTTTTTAGCTGTTGGTTGCTAATTGTCGTTATAAAATATATATATTTTTTTTAATGTTGTCGTAATAGTCGTAGTAGTTTGTCGTTACAAAATATTCTCTTTTGTTTTGTTTTTTTTTTTTTTTTTTAGAAAAAATTATTATAATAATATGGAACAACCTCGCACAATAAAGATTATATAGAATAAAAATGGTCGGTGCGGGAAAGACGTAAAAAAAATTCTTTAATATTAAAAACACTCAAAAGGTGCTTTTTCTTTGTTATCCAATAGAAAGAAAAAAAAAATTGGAAGATTTTAAATTTTTTTGAGAACTGGTAACAAATCAAGAAAATAAAAAAAAATAAAAAAAACGACAAAAGCTGTTTTTTTATCCTGATTTTTATTTAGACTTTATGTGACAATATGGATTTGATGAATAAACGTTATTTATTTATTTATTTATTTTATTTATTTATTTGTTATTGTAAATAACATATAAAATATACGTGATAAATATTTAAATAATAATAAATACACAAAAAAAAAAGAAAAGCCAATTACATAATATAAAAAAAGAAATACAATTTATTATCATTAAAATGCATTCATTCAAAAAAAAAATCAATTTATTATTATTCTTTGTTTAAAATAATATAATAATTATTATAATGGGTTGTTGATAATCTGGTATCATATAAATAAATAATGAACATAATGACTATTATTACGATTTACCAACCTTACCTTTTAGACCTCAATGAATTTATACAACAGAAGACAAGAGGCTTTTTATTAAAAAAATATAAGTAGTAATGAATGCATTATTTTTCAAAAAATCAAAAAAAAAAATCTCTCAAATAAATTTTTTTTCTGAAAAAAAAAAAATTTAAAAATGTTTTTTCTGATAAAAATAAACTTTTTATGATTAACTAAAATTGTCATTCAAGGGACTTTTTTTTTTTTTTTTTTAATAGAATAACAAAATAATTCAATTGTATATATGTATATGTTTTTTTATAATGAATTTAATTAATTGGTGATTATTGATGATGATGATGATGATGGTTATAACAAACATGTAGATTACGTACGACTGCGATGATTATTATTATTATTATTAAGTAAATTTTTTTAAAATGAATAATTTTTGTTAATAAAAATTTTGATAAATATTACCTTAATTAACAATTAATCTATTACTATTATTATTAAGTTCATTCAAAATTTTTCCTTATTTACGCCAAATCTTAAAAGCCCAGAATGAAATTACGAATTTAAAGATATGCGCATTATGCTATATAGATATGTTTTGGAAACACAAATATTTTAAATTTAGTTATATTAAAAAAAAATTCCTTAATTCGATATTTATATAAACTTTTTCACTCCCTAAATATATAATATATATAAATAAATATATTAATATATATATATTATTATCATCAACCCTGATTTAAAAATTTTTAATTAACCAAAAAAAACAATCTAATCTATCCATCTGATGCTTTAATTTTTATCTTTATATAATTTTTATTAAATATCAAAAAAGAGAATTCGCTGTCCCACAACATAAGCAGGCAGGGAGGGGACCCTCTGTCTGTTGATGTTGCGTGTTCATTCCACACAACGGTGGTGGTGTTGTTACATTTTTTTCATTTTATTTAATACTTCAATTCGGGCAACTTTTCAAAAGTATTCAATTAATCCAGACTAATTATAGTTAATATCCAGAAGAAGAAGAATTCAATTTAACCATCCAAATTATCCCGCGAAAAAAAAAAATCCAAGTTTTTATTATTGTTACCCCGGAGAAATTTTAACCAAAAGTAACTAACCAAACTGTTAATTTTATTACATTTTAAAATTAAAGAAAACAAACTTTTTTGCTTACAAATATTATTGATATGTATAGTAAATCAAAAAAATTAAACTTTAAAAACATTTGAAGAGAAGAAAATTCTTGATTTTTTACTTTTTATTTTTCCCAAAATAAACGATTTCCCACATGTAGCTAATTATTATTAAAAAAAAATTAAATTAAAATTAAAATGCTTCTCTTTCAAATTCCTGTTTCTTTCTTGATGAATTTATTTCAGTTATGCACATTCAAAATAAATAAACAAAATTACAAAATAAAATAAACATGCAAAATATTTTTATGCTTAATTCTTTATTTATTTACTATTTATTTATTATTTTATTGTTATATTATTTTTTTTTTTTTTTTACAAATCACACCGCCATTGATCTACTGGGATTTTCTTAAATTCATAAAAATTATTAAATTTCGAAAAACTACTCTTTTAAGCCATTAAAAAAATATTAAAGGATATCGATATCCGTTATATATCTACTAATAAATGATGATAATGAATAACTAGACCCTGAATATCTAATTTCGGTCATTCAGATGAAGTCATAATGATGTCATTATCATTATATTTTTAAGTATTTTATTAAAATAAGGTTGTTTGTGGTACATTTGCTCACTCATTTTATTTTATTTTCCACCAATCCCCCCAAAAAAATGGATTTCCTTTACTATTTTCTTTTTTTATAATTTTTTTAACAAATCCCATTCATTAACACACATTATTAACATCATCACCAAAAATATAATTTAAGGATTTTTATTCTCGTAATCATTGTATCAAAATATTTTGTATTTTTTTTTTTTCCCTGTTACATCAATAACTATATTTTTATGTTATGCATAAATTTTTAACTGTAGATTACATCATCAACCATCGTGGCGTGGTGGTATTTAAATATGAATACTATTTATATATTTATATAAATAAAATTGAATATAATAAAATAAACAAAATAAAGGTCAAATGACATTGTGTACTTTCTAAGATCATCATCATCATCATCACTTATTATAATCTTCACTACATATTAATGCTATAATTAGTATATACTAATTATTATCAATTATCACAACCAACCACCACGTTGGATATTATAAACCAGAACTTTTTCATATGACAATTAAAAAATGCACGCCAACCTTTTTAATTAATCCGAACATTTTTTTTTTTAAAATCTTTCTTTTCTACCAAACAATTATTCAAATCGAAAAGAAATAAATATATATTTGACATATCATTTACAAAAAAAATTTTTTTAAAAAGATTTACCCATTTATTTTACTTTATTGTTTTTTCATGATATCATTACACACATTAATAATGCCAATAATGAATGTTATATGCATTATTTATTTATTTATTGACAATGGATGTGTAATTTTTGGGTTTTTTTTACCAACCAGCCGACTAATCTATCGATAAAATTTCTTTTGATAAATCACTAAATCAAATTAATCTAAAATACTGCGTCAATCAGCGTGTGAAAAGTTTTGAATTGCGCAGTTGGTTACAACGAAACGCGTGTACTCACTCATATTTATACTTATTCAAGTTTTTGTTTTTGGTGAAGTAACAAACGCTTATTGTAATATACTATAATTATTATTGATCGCTGATGAGATTAAAGAGGCTTCAACCGGAAAAGGTCCTTATCCATCCGATCCTTGGTTCGGTGTATTACAATCATCAAAGTCCGAATATATTTATTTGTCGATCATTATAACATAAAACCAGTTTTTTTTTTTTGACGTTAAGATGAAAACTGAATGAAATTTCCTCTTTCACTTGAAAATGATTTCTCATTATTTACAAATAATAAAGAAACACACAAGATAAGTAATGAGGAGAATTTATTTTTGATAAGTTCCATCCCAATTCACAAATTTGTGATAAGATCCCTAATACTAATTAGTATTAGTATTAACAAAAAGATGTCTTTTGTATTGCATCAATCACGCACGGATCATCGAAAAATAAATAAATATGATGATGATGAAATTGAGAATCAAAAAAGTCTCCCCTTATTATTATAATATTTAAAGAAATTTTTAATTATTATTTTAATTATTCAATTAATGAAAATAGAAATTGCTCCTTGATAATAAATAATAAATCTTGGACTGTCAATATCATACAAAAGGTAAATCCTAAAATACCCTTGCCAATTATTTATTGTAATATGGATTATGCTTCGGCGATAAATTTTACTCAACGCCACAATTATAAATTATAATGTATATCAATGCCAAGATTATTATTATTCTTTGCTTGGCCTTCAATTGATTGTTCGGATTTTATTCAATCCATTTCACTTTGGTTTAACCGGGCCTGCATTTGACTTGGATAATTTTCTCCTATTCTCTTTTTTTTCTCTTTATTGGCAACTAACCTAATATAGGTAAACTGCTAATTGGTAAAGCACCTCAACCAATATTTAAAATAAAAGGCCTTCATTTTTTTTCTCTTGCTCTATCCAATTCATCAAACCTGCCTTTAATTGATCCATTTTAATTGAAATGCTGATGGAAAAATCGTTTCTTTGGTGATGCTCTTTTCTCCAATTCATTTGATCACATTCAACTATCGTATTCTGTCGCTTATTCACTGAAGGTTTTATTATAAAATAAAGAAAGTTGTTATATATTTTTCGAATTTTGCTTATTTCCGAGGAAATGATTGCTAATACACACCAGAATACGGTGTCTGTTTTCTTAATATTTGCCCTTTGGTAATAGCCCTATTCTCTAAATGTCAATAATTCAATTGGTCAATTGTTGCTTTTAATTGTTTTTTTTCCCCTGCTTCACAATAGTCTTCGGTGCTGCAGCCCGACTTTTTTAATTCAGACCCGTTTAGGTTTAGTGTGAGCTCTTTCCCGAAACTGATTAGCAAATTCAAAAGGGGTCTACGCCATAGAATTGGTCTTGTGCTTATCTAATTGTTGCCTGGTCTAGTTTTTAGCAGGTTTTAAATCAAATTTGCGGGGTATTTTCTTGCTTATTTATTTATTTTATTGGTGATGGCGGTCGAAACTATGAAAAAAAGGTATATAGTTCCCGCCCAATACTATGGTAGCTAATATCTTTTATAATAACAACATAAAATAATTTCACCCAAGTTTAGGCTAGTTTTTATTGTCCGATTGCTTTAAAATAATTTTGTGATCAGAATTAAATTTAGTCAAGCTCCTTCCTAATAACTTCTCTTTTATTGTTATTGGCTTTTAATGCCTTGGCCAAATATTTTTTGTTCAATCTTTCAACAAATCTAAACGAGCTTGATTTCCCGCTTCCTAATTCTCGAGCTTTAACTTGACTATGCTCTCAATGAGAGACTACAAATAAACTGATTCAAAATGTGTTTTTGTAGGGATTTGATATCTTCACCCATTCGTCCACTTGCTTCAATTCCAGCAAACACCTCATTATTAATTTTCTTTTCTGCCAATCAGATTTATTTCTATAACAGGAAATGAACTGTTTCACAAAAGATAGTAGATCTTTTTACCCTCTCTCTAAGATTTCAAAAGTTTGATGAATAGTATAACAAAATACTGCTGCTATTTCATATAACGATTGTAAGTAAGGCTATGACGAATCAACGAAATTCGAACCGATTTGGATCGAATCAATAACCTAATTTTTGATTCGCTTTTATTCGAATCGGGTACGAATCTACCCAATAATACATTGATCAAATGGAATCATGGTTTCGAATCATAATTAAATTCGCATTACAACGAATTTTATTGAAATAAGATTTTAAATACTATTATTATATTATATGCCCATAGATTCGTTGAAATGAGGTTTGCCTTATTTAGTTATAAGCATATTTTATTTTAAATATGACTAATTTTTTATCAATCAACATTTATGTATATTGAAGCTTCGGTTTTTGTGGTATGTAAAACATAGCCGCTCAAAAATTTTTGAACCTTTTCATTGTTGTAAAATAATTCGAATCAAAATTTCTTTTTTAAATTCATATTTGATTATATAATGTCGTTTTATAAATAATTGTCATTATTATCATCAGAAAGAAGAGAATTTATAGATAAAATATATAATTATGCAGTGGTTAATTCTAATAGAGAAAGTAGTAAAGATAAAATCAAAAACAAGGAACTTTCTGAAAAAGAAAAACAATATTTCAGATAAAGGGCGAACCAACAAAATATTATGATAGATTCTGTGAAAGTTGTATTACTTTACAACTACAGAGTCTTTTCACTACTTGGTCATCTGAAAATAACATTGTTGATAGTTTTGTTCAACAGTGTCAAATAAAATCATCTTTGCCACAATATATTATAGAATGGACACCTTATGAGCAATTTGAAGATATAACAAAATTAACTGAAGGTGGGTTTAGTTCAATTTATGCTGCTGGATGGACAAGAAAAACTATTCAGTTATTTGGAAGGCAAAGTGTAGTATTAATCCAGGAAAGGCATTTTTTGATGATGTTGGTAGTTTTTATTTAAAACAAAATAAATAATACAATACTAATTGATTTTATATTTAATTATAGGCACTGAATTATTGTAAAATTTAGTTGCTCCTTACTATGTTATAACTAAATTCCCAGATAATGTAAGTTATGCAATGGTTCTTACTTATGTGTCAAGAGATTATTTACAAAAAAATCATTTAAATTTAACATTAAAAGATAGAATTACAATTCTTGTATTTTTATGTAATTCATTATATCATACACATGATAAAAATTTAATCCATTGTGCTTTACATGGTGGTAATATTTTAGTACAATCTGGTGATTATTATATTACAGATTTGGGGTTATGTGGACCAGCTGGTGAAAAATCGTCAGATAAAATCTATGGAATTATATCATATGTTGCACCTGAGCTACTTAAAGGTACAAATATTACAAAGAATTTGATATTTTCAGTATGGGGATGTTAATATGGGAAATATTTGCAGGACATCCACCATTTGACAATAGGGTTGTTTAATTTTTGATATATGTGAAGGTTTACAACCACCAATATTACTTGAAATACCTAATGATTGTGCACGAACGAAAATTCATCCATGTTATGTCTTCAATTGGCGCGAGTCTATAATAAATATCAATAACTTCATGCTAGTAATTGGTAGGTCTTGAATACCTTCACAAAAATAAAGTTGATTAAATTATTATTATTAGTAGCAAATTGTTAGTATTCGTTTTTGATAATTTTTTTTTTGCGAATGTTTAAAGACGTGTTTATGTAATTAAATGCTGATATTCCTTTTTTTTTTTCAACTTTTCTCAAGGAAACTAACATGGAATCAACGATGTCAATATTAGTAGAAGAAATGCCATCGAGCAGCGGTTTGTTTGACTTGTGTCCTTCTTCGGTAAGCTTCTTTCTAAGATTTTCACTTGGTTTTCAATTTCTTGTTTTAAAATATTGTTTTCATGAACTCGATTAGCTTTAAATTGGTTTTTTAAAAGTCATTTTTAAGCATTAGTTTCTCTCAAAGAACTTGGATAAAAATAATACTTAATAAAAAAAGGAATAAAATATTTTTTGTTTTTGTATATTAAAATTCATTTCTTTTATTGGAATAATATTTTATTCTACAGTTCACTCACTCTCTATAACGAGCCTTCTGTCACATGTGTATTAGTAATAGAAAGATGAAGAGAAATTAAAGGGAAGTTTGTCATAATGAGGGTTTACTTAATGTACGTTATAAAAAGTCTTGTAAATATCACTTTTATTTTTGAATGTGCATCCTATTGATGTTTACTGACATTTTAAGTAAGGTAAAGTAGACTATTAGAACCAATTGTTGAAAAGATACATTCATCATTATATTTATAGCCTATCAAAGAGTCAAATATTATTTCGCTAAAAGAAATATAATCTTATCGGTTAGTCTTACAAAAGTAGCCAACTTACCTTGAAGAAGTGAAAAATTCTCTTGGATATTCTAAAGTTGATGTCTACACCATATATTACTACAATGTTTAATACAGCCTGCTCCTGACAGATTTCTTGAAATCACTGTAATTCCAAAATTAGCCAAAGAGGCTAAAAAACTTGATCCGTAATAAAATCAAGGGAAACAAAGTACAATTTTTTAGACGACTCGCTCGTTGACAAATTATTACCAGGGCATGAAAAGGTTCGAGTGTATATGACCCCATCTACCAAAAAGTAAATCATAAATAGTGTTTGTTTTCAAAACTATAAAGTTTCGTAACTGTGTGGAAAAGTCAAAAGGTTTTGTCGCAAATCGAAACTAGTTTTGGCTTTTGATTTAGTTTTGACGTATAACTTTTAATTTTTGCTTTGACTTTTCACCTCTTCAAAATAGTTTGGCGACCAAAGAATTATAAAAAAAATTATTAAAATAAAAAAAAAATCCAAATACATATCATATAGCTTTACAATCGGCAATAGTTGTATTATTTTTTTTACATACGAGTCAAACAAGTTGTGTTAAATCTTGTTAGCAAAATAAACCAGCAAAACGTCAAGCCAAAGTATCGATTATTATTATTATTGATTTTAAGTTTGGATTGGTTATTAAAATGTTAATATATATAATACACGTATAAAAAATATATCACAATAACATTAAAAATATATAATGTGACATTATTGATGAACTTTCTCCTTTTTAGAAAAAGAACATCCAAAAGAGTTCTGAAAGGTGGACGACGACTCGTACTACTGCATCTATCGTCTCTGCTACCATCATGTGACATTCTCAGCTGCTATTATCATTGTTATTAAAGCTACAAGGATTATTGTAATTTTTGTTGTTTCTATGTCTATCACTATTACTGTTATAGTTTCCCTCTTCATCTTTACGCTTTTTGACAGTGATTGCTGTAGATCCTAACAAATTTGGATCATTGAAAATTTTCTTCCTCAGGTACCTCCTGATATACACGAGACTAAAAAACATATTAATATGTATATTATTATCATTAAAATTACTCTGTTTACCTTTTCTTGACGAGATTAAAGTTTCTTATTTCCCCATATTGTTTAAACAAGTCATAAAGTGCATCACCACCGTTATTCCATCGAACATATAATGATAAGTCTAACAAAATAAAATTTTTTTATACATATGTATATAAATAATACAAATAATAAAACCATAATTAAAAAATTTTCACACCTCTATTACTAGTGGTATCATTTCTACTTTCTCTTCTATCATCCATATTCATAAAACTTTATTTACCAACGCACATGACACACGAAATATTAGGTTAAAACGTGCCGCAGTGTCAATTTTTCTATCGCAGATCACAATTAAATTTTATGACCATTTTAGTAAACTATTATCACAAGAAAGAATGGAATTTATAAAGAAAATTCATAAAGGACTCTATAATGATGCTCTGGTTAATTATGGCAGAGAAAACAGAAATCATTATTTTTTTCATTAGTAAAAGAAAATTTGTAAGAAAAGTTTATTTATGGTTTTGAATTCAATAACTCAATTCTCGTTATTTTTATAATAAACTCGAACTTAGTTGTTGGAGTAAAATGAAAGTACTCCATTAAAGCTTTCTAATGAATAATCTTTCATATAAAAGGTCTTCTCTACATGAATTCACGCTATTCCAAAACAGTATTACTTTTTCACTTCAAAGCTCTGATTATTTCTCAATATCGCTTTAAAAGACTTGATAGTAAATGAGAAGGTGTAGAATACTTTAAACTTCATATGGTCATTACTTTATGGGGTATTGGTTAATAAGTTTTAGAGAGGTTCACGAAAAACTATTTTATAGAGATTCAATAGTCTTGAAGAATTTTATGATGGGATTCAGCAAAAACTAAAAGGTATTTTATTAGTGATTGTTTTATACTTCTGACATTGATTAAAGTTTTATTAATGATTATTAATTATTGTTTTATTTATATATAAATAAAGAATAAATAAAATGTATAAATTGTCTTTAACACTTACTTCGATCAAACCCGCCTATATAATTATTGAACAATTTGTTTTGCAAGTTTTGTAGATCTTGATTAACGCTTACTTCGATCAAACCCACCCATATAATTATTGAATAATTGACAAACATTCGTTTTGCAAACTTCATAGATCTTGACATAACACTTACTTTGATTAAACCTGCCTATATAATTATTGAATGATTGATAAATATTCGTTTTGCAAACTTCAAAAATCTTGACTAACACTTACTTTGATCAAACCCACCTATATAACTATCGAATAATTGATAATAATAAAACGTTAATTAAATATATTTTATGAACAGCTTCGTAGATCAACCCGCCTATAATAATAAACGTTCATTTTGGAAACTTGATTTGCAAATAGACATTGACGACCTTGCTTTGGAAGCTTCTTATGTCGTCATACATCTTGTATTTAACAGTTACTTCACAAACTCGCTCAACCCTACTTTTTCTATTTTTTTTAGATTACACAATAAAAATTATGGAATAAATTTATCCAATGAAATGTTGTGTATCTCATGTTATCCCATATTTTGCACAACTTGAAAAAAAGTTGGTATATAATGGGTTTAATAGTAACTAATCGTCTGAGTAAAAGTCATGCAATGATGAAGTACTCATCATGGATAACCTGTGTCCGGCTCCCTTAGGTGTATGCCTCACTTTGGACCGGCTGCAAAGTCCTGTGTGGCTGAGGGTGGAGCTCACGTGGGTGGCTCATGTTGGGTGTATTGACCCTTCGTGACATGATCCCTCTTTTTGTTAATTTTTATTTATTTATTTTATTTAGTTTAAAAGGAAACATTTTAAAAAGATAAAACTCGCTAATTGATTTGATTGGTTACATTTGTAATATACGAATCAATAATATTATAATTAGTAGCAACGACGACAATGAATAATTGTTTTTTGGGATGATAATTAAGACTATGATCCAGTTTGTATATGAGTGATCGAAGTAAGCTTTAAGGACAAGATCTATGAACAAAATATGCTAACAAACGTTTTATCAATTATTTAATAGTTTGCACAAGAATTAAGGACAAGGTCTATGAACAAAATATTCTAACGAATGTTTTATCAATTATTCAATAGTTTATATAAATTTCTCTTTTATTTTAACTTATATTTTAACAATATCACTATGATAAAAATAATAAAGTCAGAGATAAATTTAATCATTATTGTTGTTATTTATGTTCTAATCATTATTTACATATGTATATAAGAATAAATGTAAGAGAAAAATTTTAATATCTATTTATTTATCATATTTACTTTTAAAATAAATGATTTTACTATAGAAGACATACTACGTGATCAAATATCTGTAAATATTCATAATAATCATATTTGGACTACTTATACTTGCAATTGGACGCGTCAAACAAAATTTTACATATATGAATATAAAGGCAAACTTTGACTTTGAAGGTCAAATTTTATTTTCGAATTCTACTATCCAAGTTTTATAGACCTGCGGAAAATGTCCTGTGAGATACAAACTGAATAGCAAAAAACTTGCCAAGTTGACAACTGGATTCATCTTCCAGAACCCGATAGGAGCCCACTAATAAACCAAAACATAGAAACTACACATGCCTGCCAATTATAATTTCTCTGTTTCAACGATTCTGTTAAATCCTTTTATAAGGTCACTAAAATATTTTAACAGTAAGCATCTTCATTATAATTAATAAAGTCGTGAATAGTATGCCAGTCAATACACTTGATTGGTATTTAAAAAATTTGATTTATATATAAATAATCCTTTCTAATCTTTATTGTTTTATACACTTTATATATAACCTTCTAACAAATGGGCCTTTCCACAATTGATCAGCATTGGTAATGATCACAAATATTATGAAATATTGCATGTTTTCATTTCGATTTCGATTATCAACCCAGCTATATAGAAATTAAACATTTCATTTGAAAATTTAATAGTCTTCCTACTCTTGAACCATTATCAAGTAGTAGCATTGGTTACCATTTATTATTAAGGTAATATTCAAGAAGCTCTTTATAAAATTCACCCTTTAAAATTTTTTAAAATGGTGTAATTTTATGAAAAAATATTCTGAGCACATTTTGTCTAATTTGCAATGAATGACAGCATAATCAAATTTCATCCAAATCCAATCCAAATCCGAATCATTTCTTTTCAGTACGGATATATGTAACAATTGATTTTTTTTCAATCGTTGTAATCTCACCAATCAATTCACCATGATTTTCGAAAAATTTTAATGAGCATGAATAGAGCTCCGAACGAGTCGGGTCGGGTCGGGTCAGAGGTTCAACCCGACCCGACTCGAACTTTTAAACAGTTGACCCGACCCGACCCGTCGGGTCAACGGGTCACAGATTAAGAAAATTACAAATGTAGATATATTAATTGATTTTATATACAGTACACACAATATGTTCACTATTACTGCCACTTTTAAGAAATCTGTCCAACATCATTGCTTGTTTATTTACTATTCATATTATATTTCCCATGTCTTTATTTAATGAAATACCGGAATTAGATTTTGACGCAGATCTTTTGGTCGAATCTTTTAATTCCGGGACAATTTAAATTTTATTTATTTATTAATTCTATTTATTTATCAATAACGTGTATAATTATTTATTATCATCTGAATTCGCGTTACGTTTCGCGTATTTAATTATTATTATTATTATTATTATTATTATTATTATTATTATTAATCAATCCGTAGCACATTCATATTTATTTAACTTTATTTAGTAGAGATTAGTGACGATTCTTCAAAACGGGCGGATTCGCGCAATTCGGGCTAATATGTAAAGAACATGTACACTCCCTGGACAAAAGTATTTGATCACGTGTTTACACTAATTAGTAAAAAACCTACATAACAACATCACACGAAATTTATAACATTATGCACCTAGGTTTTAATAAATATATATTCGAAATTTCACGTCGCTAGCTTTCATGTATCAAATTTAATTAAAAATTTTCAAAAAAGTTTTTTTTCATGATCGCCCAAAATTGAAATTATTTATTAATTTTTCGTTGATCGCGAATTCAGATGTTATTACTATTTTTTTAACCACTAATTTTCTAGACATGATAGAAACACGAAATTTCATATATTTATTCTTCAAAACAATATCCCTCATTTATGTAAAATTTACAAATTTTTATTATGTAGATTTTTAAAAAACATGAAAATATAGCAAAATGTTTAAATTTTTTATTTGGATTTTAGTTTTTTATTATTAATCTTGATACTTGGAAGCTAGCAACGTGAAATTTCGAATATATATTTATCAAAATCTAGATGCATAATGTTATAAAATTCGTGTGATGTTATTATGTAGGTTTTTTATTAATTAGTGTAAACACGTGATCAAATACTTTTGTCCAGGTAGTGTATATAAAGAACTTGATTTCGACCTAATGTAAAAGCAACTTTCTTACAAGTTAATTAGTTTCGACTAAATAAATAAAATAGAAATATTTTATTTAAAACTTTTATCTTCTTTAACCAAAATTATTCGCTAATAACAAAAT